TATGCAGCAGAAACCTGGTCGCTACGTAAGCAGTATGAAAGATCATTTGGCGCTATTAAACTCGCAGTCGAAAGGTCGATGCTAGAAGTATTCTGTATGTCGCGAATGAAAGAAAGGATCCGAACTTCCTACCTGCGTCAACGATCGAAGATCAGAGACACCGTTCTACACGCCAGGATACCGAAAATAAGGGGCGGGGGTGGGGGGCGAAGCAGTGATGCGCTTCAACGACAACCGATGGAAGAGAGCCAATACTAACTGTATTCCTCGGGACATCAGGCGCTCTACAGGAAGACCACCGACCTGTTGATCTGATTTATTCACGAAAGCTATAGAAGAAAGATATGGTGCTCAGCGAATCCCTAGAGCGAGGACTAGGCTACCCTTGCACGCGATAGGGTAAAATGGATGTGTTGCTGCTACCCGCTCAAGTCACTCGACGATAATGGGACGACAGGTGATACTTTTATTCTGGATCGCTCAAATTTCATTATATCTTACAATTGTTATCTACTGCCCGATTGAAGAACTGTAAGATCGAAACAAGTGTAACGGGTTGTACAAGAGCCCATTACCAGATCACATGACATGTTTTCTCAGATAATAATTATGGATTATATTGAAATTTGAGCGTGGTCTTAATGAAACACTCGCATGAAAGGTATAGCACTAAGTTTTTCATAGTTTGCGACTCATTCGTAATAAATGAACTTTGAAGAATTCACTGCGATTTTTTGCTCGTAGTCCGGCAACCCAAATTTCATATAATAGAAAACCCCATGTTTCGTTTGTTTACACGACCCGCCATCACATTTTAGTGTCCGGATTACAGTGCTTCTAACGTTCAATTGGTTTCCTTGCATTAACTGTTACAAAAGTCTTCGGTGTTGTTTTGAGTGCGTCTTGAGGACTTTGTTATCTTTGTGAAAGACGTAGGATGCTAATCGGGTTATAATTTCTTGAAATTTTCAAAATAAGCCTGTACCACCAATTACTCAGTGGCCACAACACCGTGTTCCCCATCAAATTCTTACGTGTAATAGTACGGATCAGAAATATTAAAATGCTCCCAGAGATCTAAATTTTAGGCCAAGAGCACGTACCTGCTATTGCAATGGTGACCGTGTTGGTGGTGCGTGTCAACAGTTTGTTAACACTGTCCACAAATTCTTCATAGGTGGAGACGAAACAGTTCTGCACTGGATGCAGAGCGGGGCGATCGAACCCAGCTGTTTCGTAAAATGCCTGAATTAAAACTTTTGATTAACACTAAATAGTAGGTTGATTCATAGACCTGAATGAGAGTGAGTCGTATGCCGGCGTCTTCGGCTGCCTGTATCACCACTTCATCCAAATCGAACTTTTCCGTGCCATGATGAACGTAGTGAAATTCACCAACGGTAGTTATTCCGGCACCAAGCATCTCACGAAACGTTGTAAAGCAATACTGGAATTTTTTTAAGTGGTTCATCAAGACGAAGTTCTTAAACTATTGACTTTATCAGTAGTGCTTTGCTTCGTTCTTCGTCAAAGCTCGCATTTGGAAATGTCAAATGACAATTCTCCGACTGATCTTAAGCTTTTATGCATCCAGAGTTTTGTAGGGACAACGTTTTGAGTTTGCAAAACTAATTTTTTGTGACTGGGCATATATTCAGTTAATGTTGAGTGAAAAGCAAATTTCTAAACCGCGGGTAGGAGTTTAACCCGCTTTTCCCTCTTACGGTGAAGTGAGACGAACCATTTTACCGATTGCCATGATAGTTTGTGATTGACGCCTACAGGTTAGTGTACAATTCAACATTCTCATTAGCTCTTTTGGAATCATTACAGTGAGCCATTGAGTGATAACAAAATGGTGGGGATAGACGGAAAAACTACGCGTTTTTCTTTGTAAAATTGTAAACTTCAGCAAGTTCGGATTACCTTTAACAAAAAGAAACCACATCTTCAGATCATTATGAAAGCTCACCTCGTAAAATCTCTCTTTTGTGATACCGTCCACCAGCGTGTACATGTTGTCTCTCCATTTCCAAAACGTATCAGCCGTTTTTCCGCCGATCGCACTTCTTCCTCGTAGGTGCCGATGAAAAGCGTGTGAGTGAGCATTTACAAATCCGGGCAGAACGATATGAAAATTGCAGTGATTTATCCAACATGCCTCACATATTTTCTCTTTGACGGTTAGGGTCAAATTCTGAACAAAGGTGTGGTAACATCTTTGGTGCATTATATCTTGGATTATCTTCACACGATCGATACCATTTAAATTCATAGAAAACGTAGGCAGTTTAAGAAGCACAAGCTTTTGTGCCCGTCACTGTTGAACACTATTCTTATGAGTGGGGACTAATTTTTGCAACAGCAATATCATTCTAAAGTCCTTCATTTACAATGAACTCAACGTAGTTTTTCTCTCTAGCGTTGCCACAACTCCCACTCGATCGGTGTACAAAGGAAAGAACATTAAAAATTTGACAGGCACCAAGCGGCTACTAAGAACATCAAAATCCGTGTTCACTTAGCAATGTGATCAATAAAAGCGCAGCAAACTCATTTCCTAGGATAGCTGTTTTTTCGTCCGATTCACAAAGTAGAAAAGTAACTTATCAAAGTCTAAGGACCTTAAAAATAGTTTGCACAGGTAAGGTAGGTGTGCAAACCTGTAAGGTAGGTGTGCATCGAAATTTGTAACCACAGCCGCCAAGGATAATGGGATGGGAAAAAGCCTACAATGTCTATAAAAGCCTCAGAATATCTTTGGTGATAATTTTGATCATCAATACACCCTTCTGTTGTTAGTAGGCTGAACTATTGGTACTTTTCCCTTATCCTCACCCATTTTCAGCCTCTTGAACAGACTCTTTTGTTTTCTCCAAAGTTCTGGTAGTCTACAATAGCTTAAATCTTGTGGATTTCAACTGTGTATTTTGATTTTGAGATGGCCTGCTTCCTACGCTGTGGACGCTGTGGCACTAAAAACAGAATTTGTTTCACACTCACAAATCTTTTGCTAGAAAAAGTTTCCCTGAACGTTTAATAATCATTCGACAGACCAAAATTTGACAAAATAATGATGTACTTAGTTTCTTAAGTAGACTTCTTGCTGCGCTGTAACACCGAAAATGAACTTGCATTTCACATGCGACGCGCATTCGTCGCTTCGGTATTTGCATGGGATTTCGAAATATTGACATCAATTCATCGCGCCTTCTGAACATTTCGCACACCCTAGCCCACGAGAAAAGCACGCTGAGTGCGGCACCCAATCTTCTTTTGGCTGCGGCAACGTACTAAGAAGTCCTTTTCAAAAAACCGGAGACACCATTGATATCGTTGAGATTTGCGCTCTCGAATGAGTAATAAAATCTGGAAGAGAAGCTATTTCCAGAGGAAACTGCTTAGTGTGAGATATAATTTTATTTTCGTTGTTATAGCACAAGAAATGTTTCATTGTAAAACCAAGTGCATTGTTGAAATTTTTGAGGTCTGAGCTACTGAATAATCACCAAAACTCCACAAAAGGCAAAAAGCGTGTTTGTGAAAATGGGCTGGAAATGGGCATGGATAGGGAGAAAGTACAGCATCATTTTTTATCACCTCCACCTCGTTTTGATATGCTGTAGTCTTTACAGTATCATGTTGCGTGAACATTTCAGAATAGTCTTATCAATGGATTTGAGGCTGAAAAACTTCAATGTGGTCCAAAACTATTGGTCGTTGGATATTGATTGCAGCTTTCTTTCTATGAAATTATTAAGTGCTACTTAGGTCGTGTTGTAGATGGAGTTCTCAAAAAGTGGCAGAAATCATGAGATCGCCCAACCTACGGATTTATTGCGCTGATGGCAATCTTATACATGTTCAGATCTGTAAGATATGAGTTAAGAAAAGATGATGTAATCATTTTTTTTCATGGAGCGCCACTGTGATGACGACAAATGTAATCCGTTCAGGAGCAATTATCTCAAATCAAAACCTATTTCAACTACGCTTATTTTTATCTTTTCAAATGCATTTCTAAACAAAGATCTATCAGATTGTCGACTTGATAAGCGATTGTTATGAACATCAGAAACATTTTTAACACTCTAAAGCTTCAGATTTTTTCACATCATTGAGCAGAACTAGTTCTGACATTAGAAGGTGCCTTATAGCTTTGTACTTTGAAAATACTTTGCCAAGTTGAGAAATATTTCCTAAAGAGGAACAAGAAGTAATTCCTTTTCGAAACAAGGCTATGTTATGAGGAAAAATTAATTCAAAACTGGATTGGCATCGTTTCCTGAAATAGTTTGCCAAAAAGTCGATTACCTCGTCCGGAAGTCGTAATACGTCATACGGTATTGTGCCACCGATTTCCGTGATGAAACCATCGCCATCGATTTTGATCGGTACGTCCTCATGTACTTTTCCGTCAAACCAGACCAAACGAGGTAATATTGTCTTCCCAAGATACGACATAACTGAAGTAAAGCAGTGCTCGTTTCGTTCCTATTCCATGTCGTATTTTCTTAATCAGTAATCAAAAGAAGTTCTCTAATTACGATATTGTGACGACCTGCATGAAGAACAAACATATTAGAAAAGCCAAAGGTGACGTATTTTGTTTGAGCGGTGAAACTGATACTCCAAAAATGTGTGGTGTGTAAATGGGTACTAATGAATATAGCAACATTGACCGACTGGTAGTAGAGTTTCACATATACGCAAGAGAATTGAGTGGTGAGCAAAAATACCCGGTATGGGTGAAATGCCGATCCGACTCCCGTCTGAGGTCGTATTTTTGCCCACCAGTTAATTCTCTCAAGTATGTGTTAAACGTCATAACACTGCGAAAAGGGCAGTAGAAACAATGAAAATTTCGAGTATTACTTGTAACAATGGCTGTCAGCTCAACTGGGTTTACAAGCGGAATCACGTATCAGACTTAACCTGTTGAAGGTTGGTGGCTGACAGCTATCATAGAGATACTGAAGAATGAATGGTGGTACAAATGTACCTTGGTGGTGTAGTGGCAGCACGCGTCCTTAGTATGGATAAAGCGCGGGTTCGACGCCCGTCTGAGACCGTGTTTTTGCTCACCATTCAATTCTCTTAGGTATAGGTGAAACATCATAACACTGTGAAAGAACCAGTAGAAACAATGGAAAATTTCAAATATTATTGATAAAAGAGTGTTTATGGTAATCGATATTCCTACAACTACATGAATAGCGGTAACAATAACGATGGCATAGGTGTGAGATGGCAATGAACAGAAAATGTCGATCTATTGTGATGGATGGTGAAAGATTCTCGGAGCGCCCTGTCAAGGTCAATCCTTGCCAGGACCATTTTTATTCTTACACTGATCATTCCTTGCTGTTTTTGCCATTCTACTACATTATAATCTACTATTATGACTGTGACGTGCTATTGTTTGTTTAAATTCAAGAGGTTTCAATATATAATAAAGATGGCAATCCTATACAAGCACGACAGTAAAGAAACTTCCACGAACTACATTGTTGTGGATTCGGGCTAATACTTTAGTTCCACTTTAAAATATAGTTATACTGGTTGTATGTTCGATTCAGGCCGTTTGCGATGACTTGGCTATCAACCTATCTGAAACTTCTCCACGTCGAAGACGTAAAGCTGGCGAATTGCTTCAAACTACAAAGAAGCTGAAACCAAACTTCACTACAGGGTTCATTAAGGTACGAATCATGTTATAATAGATGTTGATGAAATCATTCCCATCTGTCAATTTTCTCACTTTAATCTCGTACTTTTTTTGTTGAAATTTCTATTTATTGATGCGAAATGTTAGACTCAGTTCGCTCACAATCTGTCCTTCTTGGCTTCTAGCAGTATAGTTTCCTGTTGTCGTTAAGCTACTGAAAGCAGTATGAACGAAACATGATTTAGGTGCAACAAGAGGAAAAACATTATGGAAGCATTTGCGTTGGAAATAGATAGAAAATCAGTAGAAGAGACTAATTGGGGAAAGAGGAAAATGAGTCCATGTTTACTTTATATTCGCTTTCTAAGGAAGTTCTGTATTGAAAAAAGTAAATTAGTGAACTCATGAATTGAGAAAACTTCTAGCTTCAGTCTCAAAAGTACACTTCTACTACGGCCAACTTTAGATTGTGATAGATGGTTTCAATTAGGCATTATGGTGGCAAACTTTTTTTCCGCACACTTCTAAAAAATCTAATCATAAATCTCTCGAATGACCCAGAAGACAAGTCTTTACTTAGATATCTTCATTTGCTCATTGCCTAACGTTCTTGTTTTAAAGATTAGAAAATCTTTTTATTTGTCTTGTAGTTCCATTCAAAATGCGTTTTGTAGGAATCGGTTTAGATACAGTTACAAAATTTTATTATGAAATTTCGTAATTTACCTATATTACCTCCCATGCCATTTACTTCCCAATGGATTTCAGAAAAACTTCAGCAACTTCAGTTCACAGTTGCAATAGATTTTATTACCTAAGTTTTTTCACAACTCTCACTCGAGTAACTTTTATTTATTTGTTCGTCGGATCATAGTTTCCACAGCCATTAGATGCCAAGAACCCAAAACATCTTATCTTCACTCCATTGTATTGAGACAGTCATCATCAAAGGTTAACGCGTAGCTTCGACTACGGGGATGCATTGTCTTGTTTTCACTTGGAGTTGTTAAATGAGGACTGACCTTGTTTCTTTCTGGAATCTCTTCATAGCTGTGCTAAGGCATCTATAAAACTTCATCCAAAAACCGACTTCAGTGGATTAAAGGTTTGCTACCGTTTAGGTAGAGTTTCCACACGAACGAAAAGAGTTGAGTCGAGTTGAAGTTTACGAACTTTTTGAAATGAGTTTTTTTATGAGTTCTTCAAATAGTACCCTTTCCTTGTGATGAAGATACAGATAAACTATCTAGATTTATAATTTGTCCCTCTCGGCGTGGTCAGTACACTGATGATGATATTTGACTTTCGCTTTATCATGCGGTGAAGTTACCTGTGAATCTCGCTAACCGTGCCCTTCACACCCTTCTGTTCGAGCTACCGAGCTATATCAGCCTTATAGTTCTTTGTATTGGGTTGTCTTATTATTTTTTTCGTACTATTGTTTTATCCAGATCTATACTCTTTCACATTGGACTACTGCCAAAACGCTGTGGTATGCTGGAGAATGTTCTAGTAACTTGAGCAGATGCTTGAACACGGCCGTACCACCATCGCTCGTCATCTAGATGAAATGGGTTACAGCAAAGTAATTTATAATCTGATGAGGATATAACATGTTTTGAGCCGTCAGGGGGTGCTACTGATGAGTTCCAGCAGGACGACGAAGGCGCCTGTATATCATTAGACCTGACAGCTCAAAACATCTTATATCCTTATTAAGATTACATCATTCTGAGCGGGTCTATGAAAAGCGGTTGATAGAAGAGCAGATTAATGTCTCAATGGATATCTCAAGCATTGACAGACCACCTCCCACTGTAGAGTCTACTCGCCCACGTTATGGCCTGCACCACGGTGGCACATCCATCGTATAGTCCTGACATTGCCCCATTGGATTATCATTTCTTCTGCGTCCTGAGGCATCACCTGCGGGAGTAATAATCTAGTGGCACATCCATCGTATAGTCCTGACATTGCCCCATTGGATTATCATTTCTTCTGCGTCCTGAGGCATCACCTGCGGGAGTAATAATCTATAAGCTACAACCAACTCAAAAAGACCTCACCGAGTCCTTTGATTGCCAGCTTTACTCTTTCTGAGAAGAAGAGGCATCTACATTTCTTTGGGAGAGAACGCTGCAGAATGGGGGGCCAAGGAGAGGGCAGGGAGGGAGAGGGAATAAGGGGGGGGACGAAACAGCAAGAGGAAAGAGGAAGGGGAAAAGAGGAAAGAGAGGAGGAAGGGAGAGAGGAAAAAAGAGGGGGGAGGAAGGAAGAGGAGAAAAAGGAGGAAAGGGGGGGGGGGAAGAGAAAAGGGAAAAGGGGGGGAAAGGGGGGGGAGGAAGGGGGGGGGGGAAGAGGGAGAGGAGAGAGAGAAGAAAGAAAGGGGAGAGAAAGGGGAGGGGAAAAAAAAAAAAAAAAAGGGGGGAAGGGGAAGGGAAGGAGAGGAAAAAAAGAGGAGAGGGGGAAAGAAAAAGGAAGGGGGAGGAAAGAGGGGAGGGAGGGGAAAAAAAAGGGGGGGAGGGGGAGAGGAAGGAGAAGGGAAGAGAGGGAAGAGAAGAGAGGGGAGGGGAGGAAAGGGGAGAAAAAGAGAGAGGGGGGCAGAGGGAGTAGAGGAGGAGAGAGAGGAAAGAGGGGGGGGGAAAGGGGGGAGAGAAGGAAGGGGAAGGGGGGGGTGG